ATTTGAGCATGCCACTGTTATCTTTGTATAACAGATTGTTCTCTTTTGGTTATGAACTGTGTTGATTACTTGCGCCACAAGTTTCTCAGACTTCTTAATTCTATTGGATTGTTATAGATGGGTTAAGTCTGTATAAAGTTATTTTTCTTGCCTTGTAAACAAGGACTTTTACTCATAATATTGTATGTCTAGATAAAGGGAGTTATGGGCCCTTCCAACCATTTCTTTGATTACAGTTAATACTAAGAAGCAAGGTTAATTAGTTTAGCCAGATTAATCATAGATGAAACTTTGAACGAAAAGCAATTGAAACTGATTTAAAACACAATGGAAGATACATTAAACAATAGATCTACTTTATGTAAGTACAAACAAAAGAGACTCGGGCAAAATAATAACCTTGTCAGGCAAGGTTCATCTTCTTGCAACCACTTCTCTTTGTGTTTTACAAGGGTTGTAATCTTTGGAGAATGAGATGTAAATCGGGTTTAGTAAAGGGATTCAATACTACAATGGTAGCAAAGCTTCTAAAAACTTGACAAAAGATGGCTTTATATGGTGGATCTATGACTAAAAGGGTAGAGTATGGACAAAATGAAGCTTTATGGTTTCTTGCTTGTTTGAGAGCAAAGTTGGATATATTTTGATTAATTGGTTGAGTGTCCTTATCTCTGATTTCCCTTGTTGCTTTTATAAACTTTTTAGCCTAATTGTCCAAGCCTTGCCTTTTGGTGATGGCTTTCAGAAGATGGTGAGTCACCATTTATTTACCTACCCATGCCCTTGAAAAGTACTTTTTGTTAGAGATGAGCTGTTCTCTGTCGTCCATCACTTCTCACATAGGCATGTTGCCTATTCCTTGCCAAAATTATTTTTAATTCTTTCTGGACTATCAACTTGTCCGAGCCCAATTCTCCATTTTCTTTTTGTGTTCTTGGGCCTCCATTCTCACTAAACCCAACATTAAATATTCACTCAAACAGAAGAAAATGGAAGGCAAACATTGGGAGCAAAGAACTGGCTTCTGCCCTTCTCTCGTCGCTCAAATTGCACAACAGGGCATCTCTCTCTCTATCTCTCTCTCTCTCTCTCTCTCTCTCTCTCTCTCCCTCCCCGCCGTGGAACTCTAGGCAGCTTCTTCATTCATGCAAGTGCCCATCCCTTTGAAAGTCCTCAATTCCCATTCAAATTTTAATGGCTGATTAAGGAAAGTTAATTAGAAAAGAATTGGACTACTTGGATCTAAGAGAAGACATGGCACAAAACCAAGCGCAATGGTGTTCTAAGATTCATATACAACCCCACTTAGTAGGACAAGGCGTTGTTGTAGCATATGAAATTCGGGTTCTCGATGTTTGAAGTTTTGGGTCTTCTGGTTTGTGGGATATGCAATTTGGGTGAACTAGGGATACCGATAACATCATTTTCCATTAATTAGATAAAAGTGTATAGTTTTAATTTCTCATTGCAGTCTTTGCATCAAACATCCAAATTTATTTGGGGGAAGTGAGAAGCTTGATGTGTCATGGGGTAAGGGCCAGTATGATTCTAATGTTTTACTGGCTTATAGAAGACCAAGACCCGAATGGCTAGCTCAACAATCCTTTGTAGTAGAGATTAATTTTTTTCTCTCTTCCTTTTGTGTTATTCAACTTGGAGATTGTGGAAAAACTATAAAAGACTTAACTGAAGTCTATTTTGCAATCCGGTTTCTCTATTAGTGTAACCCGTCCATAATTGATACGAATGTTGTTTCCCTTTTACATCTCAGCATTCTTTTTCACCCGAGATAGGTGTTCATGGCATTCTCATGGACATTTTCTCACGTTCAGGTGGTGGAGGTGTAAATTTATCTCGGTTGTGAGTAGGCATGGATCTGAATGAGCCTTCAAGTTCCAAATGGAGTAGCACAATTAGCATAAAGTTCAAGGTACCTCTTTACATTTTCCACTTATTAGAATTCTTGTGGTATTTATTTTTTTATACACTCTCTTTCCATTTCCAGACTATTTATATGAATTTAAATCGTGTGCTACGCAGCATGTCCGACCATTGAATTGTAATGGCCGCTCTGTGAGCTGAGATTTTGATGGGTTTCCTGTCACTTGCAGGTAATCTCGGTTTTGAGAACTTAGTTTCCAAATTTGTTTGACTAATCTTTTCACATTGTAAGATGATAATCCTGCAGTGGAAGTCCCCATGACAGTATGGTAGTTCTAAAGCAAGAATTTCGGAATGCAAAGGCAATGATCGTAGTTTTTTTTCATGTAAGACTTCTTCAAATTGTGATCTTTAATGTGAAAGATTATATGTGAAACTAACAGGGAGTTTGTCTTGAATGCAGTTCAGTCTGCAGATAGAACATGGGATACCATTTCTATCTAAGTGGCTGATATTCAACAAGTTTAAATTCGATGTATCAAAGGTAGTCAAACTTGGGCCGGCATTTCTCTTGACAAGGTGATTGAGCAAGAGTGCATATAAAATATGGGGCGGAAGTGAGTCTGCATGAAGCATTTGACATGAATTAGAACTAATAATCTTGAATGATACCGTAATCCCAATTGGATTTGATTTCCATTTCCCTATTGAAGAAGGTTTCGTAAAGTTTTGGTAATTAGATCCCAATTTAGATTAGTTTTCCTAATGAGCAAACCTTCTATCATGGCCATATGAGGAGAGTTGATGTACTTGTTTACAGGAACTAGGATCAGCAACCAAGATAGAATAATATTCAGAATTCTACTACAAAGATGAGCGGGAATACTCCGGAGAGAGAGTGAGCGGAGAGCAAAACAATTGTATACCACTCAAGGTGTTAGAGTGTGAGAACATGCAAGGGAAAAGCATGTGAGAGAGAAGAAAAAAGATAAGAGTGTTTCCTTATATCCTTGTTTTCTTGTTCTTGTCCTTTCTAGTTGTTCATCGAGCCCTAAACGTAAAGGTTTGAAAAGAAATTTTATTGTTCACATTATTAATATAGTGGAGAAATGTTGTACTCGGCCGTGGGTGTAGGCACATACCCGAATTTATCATCAACTTTTGGGTTCGAGTTAGTTTTTCTCTTTCTTAAACAATTTCACATCAGGAACTTCACTAGTTCCACTTGGTGATTCAGAAGCACAAGCCTGCATATCTACGCGCTTTGTATAACTTACGGATAATTGAACCTTGTTCTATCTGTGATACCCATACTTTTTCCTCAGACAGAATGACAGGTGGTTCCATTGTAGGGGACATGGCTCCTTACCAAGCATTTGCAGTTGGAGGTCTTGGCAGTGTACGAGGTTACAGTGAAGGAGCAGTGGGATCTACTAGAACAAGATGGTGGAAGGTTCTGTTTTCTTGGACTTTGGAACTGATTTGGGGTCTTCTCATCATGTCCCTAGCAGTGAGTTCAAATTTTACTTGGTTATATTTCAACGCTTTAACTTCGTTATGGGTCTTGAAATTTCCGCGTAGTTACTGATCAGAATGAAATAAAGTTTCAACCAAATTCACTAAAATGATTGACCCATGTCATTCTTTATCCACTCGTCTTTGAGTGTTCTTGTGCAGCCTTTTAGCAGTAAGCTCCCAAAAAGCAACGCTTAGTTAGAGCATAACAAATGAGATGTGTTAGATACTGGAGATTTCTTTTTCCACAGCCGAGTCATTGGCATGAACAACCTATTGCGAAAGGTAGCCCTCCACCCAGCATACCAAAGAGATTGAAGTAACTTATCACTTTTGAAGTCCCAGCGTAGTAACCAACCTAACCTGCATACTACCAAACTTGGGAGTGAAAATTGATACACTTGTACAGGCGGAACTTGGTTGACGAGTCTGGTTAACGCTCAGAGGCTTAGTTTCCAAACCTCTTACACGATTCATGCACAACTTACTTCGTCTTTGGGTGATTATGTCACTCCTGCTAATCTCGATCACACTTTATCCTTCTGTTTGTTACTACGTGGCCACATTACCATTTCCGTTATTGTAGTTCTGACCTCTTAATGTTGTTTCTTTGCCTGATTATCAAGTCAATTTAATTTGGGAGTTTGTGCTTGGATACGGCCCTCGTTTCAAATCACAGTTTGGCCATTTGTGGTTGATTATGCTAATTAATGCCTTTCAACAGAAAACAGTATATTTTGGCATCAGCAACCTCGCTTCATGAATTCAACAAGACCAAAGAAGCTGAAGATTTCACACTTTTTCCGTCTTCATGTCCTCTTTTCTGGCCACAGAGCACTGAGGCAGCATGTGTACCCCATGGCATTTGTTACTGATCGAGTTTTGGCTTCTGCAGAATGTTCAAGCTACAGCTATCCAAGTTGTTCCTCTACCCAGTTCAGCTTCTGATTATTCTTTAACACATACCGAACATTTCTTTTTTGATTCGGAAAAGGAATTTGTTTGTACAAATATACATGACCCGGTTATAGAAGATCGTTTAATGCGTATTAATTTTCTTTGTGATCTCGTGTTACGAAAATTTGTATGGAAAGATTTCATCTGAAGAAGAGGTAATGAAGTTGTTCATTTTGATTGTACATTTCTCTAAACATTTTGGACTCGTGTCGTCCAACAAATGACTTCAATTTTCTTGTATTAATTCCGCTCACTTGTACTGAAGTGAAAGAGGAACACTTACAACAACACAAACATCAACCGGAAAAGCTACCGGAATTATTAGGACACGGAAATAATGTTCACTTAACCTGCCATCGCACTCATAGTCTATGTCTGTATCCTCTATGTTAATCTGGGTATATTTCAGTTACCAAGTACGAGTACGGGAAAAGTTGAACAAACAAGTATGGATGCAACTTAGATGGACTCGGATATACAAAGTAATGCCCGAAAAGAGGGAAAACATATAGAAAGCAAGGGAGAAGAGTTCAAATTTCAAGTCTAGAGAAACCTCTGTCAGTCCTTAGACAAACTGCAGAAGTTGTGAGTATGACTGTTTAACTTTGACAGTAATTTTTTAACTGCAACGCTAAGCTCATCAGATGTATATCAATTGCATCGATAACGAGTTCATGAAAAAATATGACTTACAAAAATCTTGCAATGGAAATAATTACATGTCCAACATCTGTAGAAATTTAGGTAAATCGCGAAAAAAGAACAGAGAGGACAACAAAGAGGACACGCAGAGGCAGCAAAGATTAAGGATGACAAAATCGCACATCATTACACATAAACACAATAAATTGACACTTTGGAGTAGAGTTTTAAAAGAAGTTGTTATACTGGCTAGTGAGAGAATCTCTGAGATTGGAATACAAGCCATAGAGAGAATACTGCCGAAGGTTCTCCACCTCATACCATGAATTGAGAACAGAGAGATGCTTATCTGTACCAGAAAAGGCCAGTTGTATCCCGAGACTGCAATCTACAGAACCCCCTCGGTTTTTACAGCCTGATGTTTCGATGGCACAGTCTTGTTTGTTAAGACAAACAAAATTGGAGTTTCCTGTGCATTTAGCACACCCATCTCTCTTCCAATACAAGTTTTGCAGCCTACCCTTTTGAAACTCGAGTACCTTCACCACATCCCATATGTTGGATTAGAGAATTTACAAATGGAAAACCGCTTACTGAATATCAACTCATTCAAAGCGACACATACTTACCAACGTAAAACTTGTCACTATGTATGTGCTGTTTGCAACAAACGCAGGGAGAGACCTTGCAGCATATTTTCGTCCAGCAAATGCCACCATGTACCCACCATATGAATCCTAGAAAACTCAAAAGGGCATACAATTTAGTGATCTGATCTATTCACGATATAAACACATGACAGGAAAGACAATACAAAGTTAAGAAAACCAACAAGCCAACATACACAGCCAAACAACACCACAGATGTAATTACGTTTAGCTTCCTATATTTTATAGGAATAATTTATTTCCAGGTTTCCCATGACAGCGAATGATTTGTTTTCCACATTCTTATAACCTTTTTCAAACTTAATTGTATCATGAGGAGAGGGATTCCAATGTCCAACCAAGACTTTATTTCATGCGGGATCGCCAACAGTAGAAGAGTTGGTTCCTCCACCCCGGAGTTTGATGAAGTTCAGAAACTCATTTTTCGGTTGCAGGGAAGCCGGAGTTGATCATAAATGTATTTTACATCTCCATTTCCAAATATACCAACAAATGGTGGCAAAATAACTGCTCCGGCTGACAAGCCTATAATAAATGCCCTTGAGCTTTAGATTATTCCTGTGCCGATCTTCACAACCAACATTAAGAGTGGGAGAGCCTTGTGAGAATTACAAAACTTGACCTTCAGATGTAATAGGGTGCGTGGTATTTAGATGTACTGTAGTAAAGGAAAGCCCGCACCATATTCTATCTGAAGGTCTACCCTATCAAAATCCATGAAGAAATATTAATCTTTCAATGGAATTTCTAAGTCATAGGTTATCATTTTCGTTAGTGATCTACCAGAAATCACTCTTCGAAATTATGTTGAGTTTTTAGAATGTCATTGCACTATCATACCTACGATTGAAACAATCAGTAAGACAGTTCCTCGGTTAAATGTTTCCAAAGTATCCTAAGTACTCTGTTTTCTCTTTTATTTTCCTTAACCATGCTATTGATTTTCCTTACCGAACTTACAAGGTACTCCATACTATTCATGAGTCATGATCGTACGTTAGATAGAGCCTCCGATCATGCAAATTTCTCCCCAGTGAAAGCATTACATATCATAGATAAGTAGAACAGTTCCCACAAAAATTAAGATTTTTTTTTTCTGTTTCGTAAAACAGCTAGAATGAAGCTAATAGTTTTAGCGTTCTAACACTAAAAAATCAAAATGAACGGAAAAAACTATCAGAAAATCGAAATGGAAGGAAAAAAAAAAAAAAAAAACCAATCTCCTCTATCCTAATAGCTCATCTAACACATCTGTATCTAAAAGAGCCCCAAACAATTTCAACATAAATGCAACACGAGTATGTTGTATCTCTCAAGCAAAGATCATGGCAAACAATCGAAAGCAATTCAATTTTTTCACCCTTTCCCCTCAAACAAAGCCAGCTAACCAAATGCACACCAAACATAATATGGTAAAACAAATATTCTTCACTGAACATGATGTGGAAGAAGACAAAAGACTCGAGGATCCTTGTAGGCTTAAACGAATGCAGCATCATTTCTTTTCACTAACTACTTCAGGATGCTTGCTAACTTGACATCCCCAGATTATGCAACTCTCACTTTAAGATTTATACACTTCAAGTTTCATTTTTTAAAGATGACAGATTCTATTGCTAACTAATCGCTACAACGCCGGCTAAAATCGTCACAAAAGGGTTAAAGTCCAAGTTGGTTGATGGATAATCACATGAATATTACACGGAATCAAGAGTATCAGCGATTAGTAATCAAACAGTCACATCTCAATCCGGCTCAAAAACTGTAACAGAGAGTAAAAGGGTAGAAGAAGATGGTAAAAGATAAGAGTTTAGATTACCGGTTGGAAAGAAGAGGTGTTGATAGTGAGGAGGGAGATCTCATCGACTTTGGGTCTAAAAAGCGCGAGCTGGGAGTTGGAGGAGGACAGCGAGAGGCGGCGGTCGCAGGGGGAGAGCTGATGCGACTGGTTCCCGTTTAGGGTGAAGGAGGTCTTGGACGAGAATGCGATCCCGAATGTAAAGCCGTCGGACCTCTGAATCTTGGTGTCTGCGCATGGGTTGTACACGCTGTTTGTGTTAGATGCTCCCACATTCACCACAGTTGACGCCATCGGCAGGAGGAGGAGCATCATCGCCGCCGCCATTGTAGCCGGCGGTGATTGCATTTAGGGTGGTAGTAAGGTAATGGGATGTATGATATTTGGTGGTGGTCGGTGAGTGGTGGTTGTTGAAGCTCAGAAGCCAGCTAAGGAAATGTAGGGTGTTGGCTGGATGTGGAGGGTGTCAGCTTGCTTTCCGTATTTGTGAAGGCTTTTGCCTCCAAAGACCAAAGCTCTGCGGCGAGGTTTAAATTTTTAGAAAGCTAATGAAAGGTGTTTGCAAGTTTTGAGTTTTAATGATAAGGATAAAATAAAAGATAAAGTAATTAGTATCATAATTGATTTTTTAGTGTAAAAATATAGTTTTTTTATTAAAATGAACAGTAACACAGACTTTTCGTTAAAACTCCCTAAATTTTTATTTCATTTTTTTTTTATTATTATTTTTTATTTTAATGTGTGTGTACATATATATATATATGTATGTATGTATGTTAGATGTTAGATTAAGGATCCATAAGAACCAGCCAGTTTCAAATTGATCGGGTTAGGTCCGATTTTAATTTTAAATTGCATTACCCGGCACGATCCGCCCTGTTTCATTTTCAAACGGATTTGGTTTGGTTCCTCCATTTTGGGGCTAACTGTGACATCCCGTCCCGGAATTATCGGAAATGCACGTGTGAAATTACCATTTTACCCCTGGGTTGTTTTGGATGTTTTGTGAGGTGTGGACATGTGTTGGGCCACACACCCACACCATTCCACTTTCCCTCACTCTCTCTCTCTCTCCCTCTGACTTTCCTCTCTCTCTCTCCCCCGAGCCCTTATCCTTCTTCTTCCTCTTCCTCAAACAAACGTACGGACACACACACACCCACCCTAAAACGTCACAGATCGAGGGATCCAAGACTACCATTGAACTCGTGGAGCTGAGGGGAGTCCAGTGGTGCCATTTCCAGGTAAGGAAACCACCAGTTTCACGTCGATTCGAAGTAATCCGTTTTGAACACTATTCATGCAAACCTAATCTAGCATGTTTTTGGACATTCTAAGCTTGTAGAGGTGTTAGTGAGGTCCCAAGGAGCTTGGGAGTGCTTCGTTGGGTGAATTTGGACGTCGGGGAAGCTTGGTTCAAAGTTGGCCGAACTTGGATCGTTGTTGCAGGTGAGATTCTTTGATTTTTAGGCCTTAAAACTAGTCTAACGTGAATCTACTAGTCCTAAGCTTCATTTTGGTATAAAGAACGTGAAAAATGGTTGAAAAACGAGTGAGAAAACAAAGTTTGAAAATTTTGCAGTTTTCCGGCGACGGCGACGGCGCCGGCGGCGGTGGCTCGCCGGAGAAGACAGGGGAATATTCCGTTAGGATTTAACGGAATATCCCTAATGGACAGTAACGGCGTCAGTCAAGGTTAACGGAATATTCCGTCAGATTCCAGGGAATATTCCTGACGGCGTCACTTGACGCCGTCAGCGTGCAGGTCACGTGGCCGCGCGTGGACCCGTGTCTGTGCTGGCGCGTGGGGGCGCGTGACGTGTCCAAAAATTATTTTAAAAATATGGTTGTGATCGTGAGGTTGTGTAGATCACGTTGGTATATTCATTTGTCCATTTTGAGCAATGTATGAGAAGTTATTTTGAACGGACGGTTATGTGCTTTAAAGTTAACGTTTTTATAGTTAATTCGCATATAGGTGACACGTATCCCGAGGACGAGCGTGCACATTCGAGGCAGGGGGGCTACGACCCTTCTACATACCAGTGAGTGGGCTTTTGTTTTCCGTATATACCTATATACATGTTATTTCCCAGAAATTAGTATAAATGCCTTGTTTTACGCCATTAATTTTATATGATTGATGATTATGCATAATTAGTGACCTATAAGTTGGTTTATATATTTATTCTTACGTCATTTACATATATGTTGGTGCTGTGGCGGCCTAGGTAAGTGCCAGGTAAGCGTTGTTTTTCATCCGCATTAAATAGTGAGTCGAGGTGCTTAGAGAGCTCATAACCTGCACCCCCGGTGTTAGTGCTCCCGCCCAGAGTAGGGCACAGTCCTTCACGTGTTGTTCACCTCCCGCACCACACGCTCAGCTTGAATCCAAGTAGGGTGCACAGTCCTGTCGTATAGACCACTATAAGTGGTTCCGACTCGTAGGTGACCCGCGATTATTCGCACAGCCTTCACGTGATTGTAGCACTAGAGCGTTTATATGTATTACACCCAGGCTTGTCGTACAGACCACTATAGGTGGTTCCGACTCGTGGGCAGGTTTAGTGATTGAGTTGTGATTTGAGCTCTAGATTCAGCCGTACAGGTCACTTAGGGGACTCCGGCTGCCAAATTATTATGCTATCGATGTGATATATATACCTGAGCACTTGCATGTTATTATGAGGCTTTGAGAATGACGGCATACAATTGAACATGATGGCATACCCTTGAGCATACTTGGAATATTTATACTTACGTATATATGTTTATTTTCTGGGAAGTGTACAGGTTTTACGGCGAGGGGTTATAATATGTTTTATGAAATGGTTTTCTAAGATATTTGTTTTGCCCACTCACGCTTTTGTTTTGCGCCCCTCCAGGTTCTAGTAGCTTAGCGGGTTGGTGGTTTTTCCCGGAGGACGTCCCGGCATTCTGACAGATACTCACCTACGTAGGGTCACCTTCGGGTGTACTTTGGTTATATTGTTTCTTTTGGACTGCTGTAAGCCTTAGACTCTGAATTCAGTGTCTTAATTACGCTAGCACATATTCTATCACTCTGTATTTGCTAGTTTTTAAATTATTCGCACTTTTATATTACTGTTTTAGCTTCCGCACTGTGCACATGGCTACGTCACTTCCACGTGACGGCCAGCATGCCCTGATCTCGGTCGGGGTGTGTCAGTTTGGTATCAGAGCCTAGGTTTGGCAGTCCTGTGTCTTTTGTGAGTATTCTAATGGTTTTGGTGCCTTCTGTCAAAATTATGCCGCCTCGTCGGGAACCACGCCGTTCAGATGAGTCTAGTTTCCCCGATATCACTCAGCTGGGGGAAGCTATTGCTACTGCTATCCAGGCAGCTATCCGCCCTCCCCAGAGGACTCCTCTGGAAACTATGTACAATCTGAAATTGGATAAATTCTACGGTCACGAGGGGCACGAGGCCGCGGAGCGTTGGTTGGAGCATATTGAGAAGACTTTCCGAGTGTTGAACAATCAGGGGAATCTCCCTGTGGAAAGATGGGTCGAGACGACTTCATGGTTTCTGGGTACGGAGTCTGCATCCTGGTGGGAGCAGGAGCTTCGTAGTTTGACTCCAGCCGAGAAGACGGACTGGAATGTTTTCATTAGGCTATTTAAGAGGAGATTCGTGCCCCCAGAGTATATTGATCGCAAGAAACAGGAATTCACTGAATTGAATCAGCGGAAGATGTCTGCGAACGAGTATTATCGGAAGTTTACCGACTTATCTCGCTACCACCCTGAGATTGCTAGTAACCCAGCGGAGATGCTTCGCCGTTTTCGCATCGGTACTAAGAAAAAGTGGCGTTCGATGTCGACCTCCACTCATTGTGATACCTACCAGGAGTTCTATGAGGTTTTGCTGAGAGTCGAGGACTCTGAGAATATGACGAGTGAGAGTGATGAGAATGAGAAGAGTGGTAATCAGAAGAAGGACGACAAAGGTAAAGGTCAGGCATCGCTCGGGCCTCGTCAGACTCAAAACTTTAAGAGAGGTGGTAACAGCTCTAGTTCTTCTAGTGGTGGGTTCAGTGCCACAGGTCAGGGACGAGGAGGTAGATTTACTGGTGGCTTTCGAGGCCAGAGACAGGGGGACGGTGGTCGAGGTAGGGCCCCACTTTGCCGAAGGTGTAATAATCGGCATACTGGCGAGTGTAGGCGGGGCAGTAGTGGTTGTTTCACTTGCGGGCAGATGGGTCATCGAGCCGCGCAATGTCCTCAGAGTCAGCAGCAGAGACCGCAGCAGACTTTCCTGCCACCACCTGCCCCTATCCAGCAGATCCAAGGTCCTAGTGGTTACGGACAGGCAGGTCGAGGTGGTGCCTACCACTACCAGGGTGATGCTGTTCCCTATGCTCCGGGACAGTATCAGTATCCTCAGGACCCCTACTCCCAGGGTGGTTACCCTCAGTATTCGGGCGGCTATATGCCGTATCCTCCAGCTTCATTCGGCGGTTCTCAATGGTATCAGGGAGGACAGATTCAGCCAGGACAGATTGCTACTAGCAGTGCAGGGTCTTCGAGACAGACCGGTCAGCCTAGTCAGGGGCGTAGTACGCAGGGTCGTGGTGCTCAGGCGAGCAGAGGTCGTGGCGGACGGCAGCAGGGCCAGGGGCGTATACACAACATTTCTCTGCAGGATGCCCAGAACAACCCGGATCTGATTATGGGTACGTTAAATATTCTTGGTTATTTTGCTAGAGTCTTAATTGATTGTGGAGCTACACATTCTGTGATTTCTCATACATTTGCTCAAGTGACACAACCTCGCCCCACACCTCTAGGGTATGATTTAGAGTTCGCTATGCCTAGAGGGGAAAGATGTATTGTAGATCGTGTGTACCCAGGGTGTCCAGTGATAGTTGAGGGTGTGATGATGCCAGCTGACCTTATCCCGTTAGATATTGTTGATTTCGATGTGATTTTGGGCGCAGATTGGTTGCACCCCAATCGTGCCAATATTGATTGTTACAGGAAGATAGTTACATTTCGTCGTCCTGGACTACCCGTGGTTACCCTTGTTGGTGAGCAGAGTGGGGTGAGACATGGTGTTATTTCGGCGTTACAAGCGAAAAAGTTGTTGACTAAGGGTTGTCAGGGGTATTTAGCCCATGTGGTGTTGGATGAGGCTCATCCTTGTAGTGTTGAGGACGTGAGGGTTGTCCGACACTTTCCAGATGTTTTCCCCGAGGATTTGCCTGGGTTACCACCAGATCGAGATTTGGAGTTCACTATCGAGTTGCTTCCAGGTACTAATCCTATTTCTTTGACTCCTTATCGTATGATACCTGCTGAATTAAGGGAATTGAAGGTGCAGCTGCAGGAATTAGTGGATAAGGGTTTTATTCAGCCTAGTACTTCGCCTTGGGGCGCTCCAGTATTGTTTGTGAGGAAGAAAGACGGAACTTTGAGGCTGTGTATCGATTACAGGCAATTGAACGGGTGAGGATTAAAAACCGTTATCCGTTGCCACGTATCGATGATTTATTCGATCAGCTTAGAG